AGCAACCTAGAACTAAGGAGAAATTTCCTAGACAGCGAGGACAATTAACCAGTGACAATTAACAGCTTGCCTTCAGAAGTTGTAAGTGCTCCATCACTGGAGATTTTTAAGAGTACTGCATCCAGTTTTGGTCACCAAGCTATAAAAAAAAAGATGCTGAGACTCTGGAAAGAGTGCAGAGAAGAGCAGCCAGGATGATGAAGGGACTGGAGACTAAAACATATGAAGAACAGTTGCAGGAACTGGGCATGGCTGGGCTAGTGAAGAGAAGGACCAGGGGAGACAGGAGAGCAGCCTTCCAATATTTGAGGGGCTGCCACAGAGAGGAGGGGGGTCCACCTTCAAAGCACCTGAAGGCAGGCCAAGAAACAATGGATAGAAACTAATCAAGGAAAGAAGCAACTCGGAATGAAGGAGAAATTCCCTGACAGTGAAAACAATCAACAGAAGCTTCCTTCGGAAATTATGTCGGCTTCATCACGTGAGACTTTCGAGATTGGACTGCCATTCGTCAGAAATGGCGTAGGGTCTCCTGCTTGAGCGGGGGGGGGGGTTGGTCTAGATGACCTATAAGGTCCCTTCCAACTCTGATAACGGGACTGCCAAGGGGTGCCTTAAAGACAAGCCAAAGCAGACCTTTAAAAAAAAAAAGCAAACACGTTCATTTTTCAAAGCCAAACCCCATTTTTTCTGCCTTTTCGCTCCACTGCCTGCCTCCTGCTTGTGGTATCCTGCTTGAGAGGCAGCCGTTAATCCGGTTCAACAGGGATTTTTAATTTTAAAAAATTGCAGTGCAAACAAGACACGGGTTCCAGCTACAAAGGGCTGTTGTTTTTTTTGAGGGGATGCTTCCAAGCTGTTCCTTTCCAAGTGAGGCTGGCCAAGAAGCTAACAAAAGTGCCTTCACTTCCTTTTTCCTTCTTTATTAATATTGTTCTTATTCATCATCCACACAGTCAGCCAGCGCAATTTTTGAGTCCTTACCAAGGACCTGGGATAGGCAAATCTGGATGTTTGATGGTGTTACAGATATTGCCGCAGGATGAGGGTGATTATACTCGTTAAACGTGGAATTCAAGTCAACTGAACATTTAAAAGCGTATCAGAAATATTATGGAACTGGCACTGATGGTTGATAGGGGTTGCTGGCAGCATCCTAGGTATCAAGTTGTTGTTATTATTATTGTTATTTCTTTTATTCATTAAGCATGAAACTCAGTCAAGTGAACATTTAAAGNCCCATGTTCTTCCCCAACCTCCCCACTGTCCGAATCTGCTGCCAGCTCCCCTCGCTGCTGGCGGGCCACAACAGAACCAATCTCTTGCTTGCAAAATTACAATTTGTTCCAAAGAACAGGTAACAAGGCAGTGTTACTCATGCAGTCAGGACGGCGAGGAGTCCGTGCTTCGCAGTTGCACTTATCTGCCATCAAGTCGAGCCTCCATATCCAAAAGCAGTCCTGTACTCTTCTAAATTGCAGGATCAAACGACTCCTGGACCACAGCAGAGTGGTTACTGTTGTGGCCCAGCAGGAGCCGTTGGAGTTGCCACCAGACTCCGACAGCGAGGGGCCCTATGAGTTGGCCCTGGAGGATGTGGAGGACCCTGTGGAGTTCCGACTCCGAGCAGGGCGCAGAGAGACTGATTGGCCACCAGGTGGCGACTGAGCCTTGGATCAGTGGGGAGGAGACAGGGGAGTGTGATCGAGAAACCAACAGTGAGTTGTTCCGATATGCACGCCGTCGAAGAGCTACTCGGCGTCAAGAACAACTACGTAATTACAGGAGGTTAGGGTTAGGGTTAGGTCCAAGGTCCCTTCCAACTCTGGGATTCTATCTTTAAAACCTGACTCTTGTCTTTTAGGCCTTCTGGTTCAACAGAAACCAGATGGGTTTAAATAATCATAAATTAAAGGAGCAGACTCATCCAACAGGAAGCCCTTCCTGTTGTCCCTAGAAAAAAGAGGAACGGGAAGGATTTATCCCACCTGGAAAGGCCGACCACATGGGTAGGACACATTCTCCGGTTTTCAGCTGGTCTTGGTAGTCAAAGAGCATCACGTTCACCCAAGCAAGTGGGCAGTCCTAGAGAAGGGAGAAAAGGAGACGAGGATGATGGGATACGTGGTGATGAAAACGAAAACTGAATGAAAAAAGCAAAATGAAATTCAACGTAGAGAAAAGTCAAGTGCTACACTTTAGGTAAGGAAAACTAAAAGGACACATATAGACTGGGTGAAACCAGGCTTAATAGCAGTGACTGGGAGAGGGATCTTGGAGTCTTAGTGCACAACCAGCTAAATATGAGCCAGCCGTGTGCGGCAGCAGCCAAAAAAGCCAACACAATCCTGTTGTGGCCCGGCAAGAGTCGTTGGAGCTGCCACCAGGCTCCGACAGCGAGGGGCCCTATGAGTCGGCCCTGGAGGACCCGGAGGACCCTGGACAGGGTTCCGACTCCGAGCAGGGCGCAGAGACACTGGTTGGCCACCAGGTGGCGCCTGAGCCTTGGATCANAACCCCTCCCTCCCTTCCTTATCTCTTTTCCTTCCCTTCCTTCCTTTTCTCTCCTCCCTTCCCCTCTCCTTCCTTCCCTCATCTCGTCTCCTTTTCTTCTGCACTCCTTCCCCTTCCTTTCTCATTTCTTCTCCTCCTCCCCTTCCTTCCTTTGCCCCTCTTCCTAAACCCTCCCTCCCTTCCTTATCTCTTTTCCTTCCCTTCCTTCCTTTTCTCTCCTCCCTTCCCCTCTCCTTCCTTCCCTCATCTCGTCTCCTTCTGCACTCCTTCCCCTTCCTTTCTCATTTCTTCTCCTCCTCCCCTTCCTTCCTTTGCCCCTCTTCCTAAACCCTCCCTCCCTTCCTTCTTTCCTCATCTCTTCTCCTTCCTTTCCTCCCTCTTCCTTCCCCTCTCCTCCCTTCCTTGTCCCTTCTAATCTCTTCTCCTTTTCTTCTGCTCTCCTTCCTTCCCCTTCCTTTCTCATTTCTTCTACTCCTCCCCTTCCTTCCTTTGCCCCCTTCCTTAAACCCTCCCTCCCTCCCTTCTTTCCTCATCTCTTCTCCTTCCTTTCCTCTCCTCCCTCTTCCTTCCCCTCTCCTTCCTTGTCCCTTCTTTCCTCTTCTCCTTTTCTTCTCCTTTCCTTCCTTCCTCCTTTATCTTCTTCCATCCCCTTTCCTTCCTCATATCTTCTCTTTTCCTTCCCCTCTCTTCCCTCCCTCCTTAATCTCTTCTCCTTTTCTTCTGCTCTCCTTCCTTCCCCTTCCTTTCTCATTTCTTCTACTCCTCCCCTTCCTTCCTTTGCCCCCTTCCTTAAACCCTCCCTCCCTCCCTTCTTTCCTCATCTCTTCTCCTTCCTTTCCTCCCTCTTCCTTCCCCTCTCCTCCCTTCCTTGTCCCTTCTTTCCTCTTCTCCTTTTCTTCTCCTTTCCTTCCTTCCTCCCTTATCTCCTTCCTTCCCCTTTCCTTCCTCATATCTTCTCCTTTCCTTCCCCTCTCTTCCCTCCCTCCCTAATCTCTTCTCCTTTTCTTCTGCTCTCCTTCCTTCCTTCCCCCTTCCTTCCATTGCTTCTCTTTTCCTTCCTTCCTCCATGTTCCTTCCCCTCCCTCCCACCCCTTTCTTCCTTCCTGTCTCCTTCCTTTTCCAATTTTCTGGGATTCTATGATTTTAATTTGCTTTAAAGCAATTAAGGCTGGCTGGGGAATTCTGGGAGTTGAAGTCCAGAAGAAAACCTCCAAGGTCCCTTCCAACCCTAGAATTCTAAGATGGAAAACTGGCCCCCAACACTTGCAAAGATGGGGCTGGTTCAGGATGTTTAGGAAAAGGGGGCAGGTTGGGGGGGGATTTTGCCAATTTCTGCTGGGCTGCACCCTGAGCCCAAAGGCAACCGAGCTCAAAGTCTCCCCATTGAAATCTTAACAGGTTTAAACATGCACAAAGTGCTGGGAATCCAGTTCAGGGCTCCCTTGCGTTGAACGAGAATGTTAGTCATAAGGTTTTTTCTTTTGCGCTGGGGCAATTAATTAAAACTCCAATTAATTTATGCTGGAAATAGCCTGACCAGTACAGTTCTGTAGGTATGTTGCATATACCCAGAATGTAATGGCCTACCACCTCAGGGCTCTCTCCAAACCTGGCCATCTTAAGACTTGTGGAGTTCAGCTCCCAGCCAGCCATGCAGCCAAATCCACAAGTCTTAAAAGTTGCTAAGTTTGGAGGCTGCCTGGTGGGAGATCCCTGACTGGTACTTGGAACATATTTTCTTTTTATCTGGATGGCAGCATTTGAGTGATTGGTGGGGAGCTTTGCTCCTTTTTCCCATTCAAATTTACCTCTGGCAGGTCTTCTGTGGCTTTTGAACTCCACTGTCTCAAGGATGGGTGTGGAACATTGAATTTCATAGGTTGAAAAAGGCAGGATTTATACCATGTCTTCACTAACTTGAATACCTTGCATGATATTTCCCAAGATCAGATATTTCCCACTCCTTTTAATCCAATAGAATTTGTTTTCTTGGTGTAGGATAAAGAATAACTAATGCCTTTAATTTAGAAATAATTCAGCATAAATACAGATTATACAGTTATATACCAGTAACTGGTATTTAAGCAAGCCAGTTATGGGAATCATAAAAGTGGATTCTCTTATGTAATGATATAGTGAGTGTTGAATCAGAGCATTTTTTAAACGATTAGTTTTTCTACCTATTCAAATGGAAATTGGCTCACCTGTAATGTGGAAATGATAGTCCTTTAATGATTACTTAGATGTATATAATATTTGTAGACAGTTCAGTGACGTCTCCTTGGTGTTCTTTGAAAGTGAATTCAATATATAATATGTCTCATAATGCTCTGTCGAATACTTGGTTTAGGACAATATTTTGCATTCACATTTTATTTTCAATCTAAAATTGCGTCTCACGGAGTGATAGATGGAATTTGGACATTCTGAATAAAGTCACCATGGACGCTTGCCTTCTTTGTAAATTGACTTTGAAGAAGCTCTCTGTATAACATAAAGTTTATGTCTTGTTTTTAAGCTGCAAACTCCCCTAATGTAGAAAAAACCCTGTCAATCGAAAGTCCCCGTTTTGTAGGCCATCTGTTCTGGGAATGCAGAAGAACCTACAAAGAAATACATCTTCCCCATCTAAGAAAGAGTTTCTCTGTTCCTTGACATACGAAGCACTCCAGATGTGCTACACCACCCATGCTAAGGTTTTATTACTATCCAGATTGGTGGGGTGGGCCGAATCGTGTGAAGGAAAGAGACAGGGGGAGATTTTGAATGTAAGCCTGGCCCCGAGATGGCCTTGGGAGCCCTTCATGTTATCTTTCCTGATTTGAATGCTGACCTCAGACAGGAGAAGGAGTGGGTGGGCTTAAGGGCCTGCAGAGTTTCTGCTTGCCTGTCCCAGCCCATGTTTGCCTGGTTGCGAGACAGGCACGAAGCAGGAGAGCCAATCCCTTGAGGGATTGCAAATCGACTTTTGTTTGTGGTTGCTTACGCTTTAAAATTTCCTTTTGAGCTGGAAAAATTTTGCCCATCGGTTTGTGTTGGCGAGTGGAAGCTCAGTTGATTTGTCCTCGGTCATCATATTCCCTTGTGTTGATTGGTCTCTGATCGGTCATTTCGACAATACCACTTAGGTATTCCCCCTGTTTTGGAAAATTGTGTTCAAACATGTCATGCTAAAAACCTTTCAGAGGTTGTTAAACTTCTGTCCAGAACATGCAATAAATAGTTGTTCAGTCCCAGCTTAAATGCCAAGGAATGGATAGCAATAATTAAATTTTCTAATCTTATGGTATTCGGCAGTTACTGAGATTGTACATATGCTTTAGCTATCACTTCATACTAGATGTAGGATGTCCAATCAATACCATATTGTATGCTCGTTCTATCTTTATCTATCTATCTATCTATCTATCTATCTATCTATCTATCTATCTATCTATCTATCTATCTATCTATCTATCTNTATCTATCTATCTATCTATCTATCTATCTATCTATCTATCTATCTATCTATCTATCTATCTATCTATCTATCTTTTGTGGAGAACGCAGTCTTATAATTTCAAGTAGTTCCCTAAAATGGCTTTTGCAATTGACTGATGGGAATTTTGTCAATGCTGATGATGTTCCAGTGGTGCTCCAGATGTTTTGGGATTGCACCCAAGGTGCCTATTACTATTGGTACTATCTTGGCTTTCTTTTGCCACAGTTGTTCTTCTGTTTGCAGATATTTATGACTTTCTCCAGTTCTTCCTCTTCCATTCTTCTGTCTCCAGGCATTGTCCACAATCCAAATTCATTTATTTATTTTTCTTTCTATATCTATAGTTGTTACATCTGGGGTGTTATGTGGCAGGTCGATTGTCTGCCTAAATTTAAAGTGTTCTAAGTGCCTTAGAACACTTTAGCTTCTTCATTTTCTATGACTGGTTAATTTTTAAAAAAATGCTCATTTTAAACTTCTCTGGCCAGAGTGGAGATCCAGATATTTGTTCTTGGTGTGGTGCTGCATAAATTACTCATTTTTGTTTAGACTCTTTGAGAAAAGTTTTTTTTTTCCATTTTAGGTGAAATGAAACAAATGTGAGTGAAAAATAACCAGAAGTGTATAAAATGTTATACCTCAGTGAAGAGTAAAGTTGGTGTATTACTGTGGCTGCATAACAGGCCTTCTGCAGGAGAAAACAATTATATATTCTCCAGAGACGCGTCTTGATGAGACTAATAAGTCTTAACAAGCTTTTATTATGGTGGTTATTTACTCCAATTCCTTCTAAAACCCTACATCAACAGTCCCCAGTACTTTTGCAGCTCTGCTTCCTTGTTGGCCGTCCTGTTGGATGTTGAGAGAAACAGGAAACCAAAGTTCAGTGATACAGAGGGACACTCCCACTAATAGGAGGGGCCCTCACAGTATTGCCAGTACTTGGTATAAATCTGTGCTGTTCAAAATAATTCATCTCTACATTTAGATGATGAACCAGCCAACTTCTAAGAACTCCCAGGTTTCTTAGAAAGGCTGCTATTGAGGGAGTAGGACCATGGATGTGTGTGAATCTTCAAGATTTCATCAGAAAAATAAGAAAACTGCTTCTCGTTTTCTCTCTCTCTCTCTCTCTCTCTCTCTCTCTCTCTCTCTCTCTCTCTCTCTCTCTCTCTCTCTCTCTCACTCACTCACTCACTCACTCTCTCTCTCACACACACACACACACTCCCCAAAGAAACTGGAATCCCTTGAAGCAGAATTAAACAATTGCACAAGGATTTTGGTGTTGGTAGATTTCAGCACCTTGAAAAAAGCATGTTCTTTGTTGTGATGCACAAGTGATAGAAATAAGCTGCGTTGCGATTGCTACCTCGGAGTGCCTACTTGCAAAAAACAGGAAGGAAAGTTCTTGTGGTTAAAAACCAAACTCTTAACTTTGGCATGAAGTTTAATGCCAGTATGAATAATAAATGTTTTACATTGTGCTGCACAATGTGTAATGTTAATGTAAGGCCTTGCGTTGCACTACACAAGCCCCTTGTTTCATATTCCTTCTTCATCGAAAAGCCTGCACAGGATGTGTTATGCAAATGCTGGCATTTTCTGTTTGGGGGAAGAAAGAAAGCTTTCAGCTTCTTGTTAATCATGATTTGGGGCCTTTTCACCAATGTTTCTACCACCCAGGATCCCCTGAGAACAGCAAATTTTTCATGGGATTTCCCGGAGCTCTCCTTACGAGGGAACAAAACTAAAGTATAATTCAGAATCTTATAATCAGCTAGATTATGTGAGGGAAATTGGTTTTAATCTTCCCTTCATGCTCCCATTCTCTTACTGTAGCTGAATTTCTTGAGAGGCCTGTACAGAAAGTGCAATAAGAAATGATAACACGTTTTCTATCCTTCACGTAATAACCTGACTTCCTGTTTTTATTTTTCCAGATTAATTTTGGACCTGAAATAGCAACAAATTTTGAACTATGCAGACAATTAAGTGTGTGGTGGTGGGAGATGGTGCTGTTGGTAAAACATGTCTTCTAATTTCTTATACGACAAATAAATTTCCCTCTGAATATGTACCAACGGTGAGTACAAAGTGGTACTTTCTCTCTCCCCCTCCTCCTTTGTTAACCTTTAATAAAAGGTTAAAGAACAGAATTAGGGCACTGCTAATTAGATCTATGTGTATGAAATAAAACCTGTGCATGTGTTCAAAAGTGACAAGTGTGACGCAACAACATTTGCATTTTAGTTTCAGGGCTGCTTTTTTGGAATTTTTGCTTTGGGAATTGCTCGTATGAACATTACACCTCGGCGTGACAACGCCAGCTTGTGCCATTTGCCAAAGTTTCACAAAACAAATGCCCACTGTCAAACTGCTTTATGACGACATCAGAAGTCACTCTGAATACAGGAAGCGAAGGCTGAACTTCGCAGTATCAGCCATTACATTTACCCTTTGCACTGAACATCTGAGGTGTCATGGTAATGGTTAGTAGAAACAATGGCTAGCAGGTCTGGCAAAGCATGTGAAGGAGGTGCTTAGCAGCATGGGTGAGTGAGCCTTAAAGGAGCCCACATCCTTGCCAAGGCCTGGGTGTCTGCATTTGCACACCTCGACAATGGATTAACTGAGACTGTCGGAAGAGAGAACAGCCTTCAGCTATGCAAGCAGCCGGTGATCACTTGGGCACTCTCGGTGCTCACTGACCTTGGCTGCCTTTTTGCAGACATTTCATTACCAAACTAGGTAGCAACATCAGTGCACCAAGGACCCCCGCGGTTCAACCCTGAGCTACGAATATCCTCTCGGTTGGGGACAGCGTGCTCAATAAATTTTCGAGCCTTCCAAAAGTGGCTTAATGCTTCCAGCGAGGTTATTTTGCTTCCTCTGCTCTGCTTGCTTAACAAAAACTTTTTTAAAGCGTTTGGCTTTAAAAGCAATGTGTTTAGATTCAAATACTCAGCGGTAGTATTTAAAACCTTGCGCAACCGCTACTGGAGATTTTGATCCAAAGTTCAGATGGATTAATAAATGGGGGGGCTAGTTGCACCTTTCCAAATTAGCGCCCTTTCAGGATCATATGTGAGTTCTGATGAGCTCCTTTACGTAAACAAAAGTAAATTAATAACTGTTTGCCGTATGTATAACCAGCATTAAATTAATATATATATTTTCCCTGGGTTGAACAGCAGCGAAAAGGTGTGTTTATAGGCAACGATGCATCCTAGGTTCTATTTATATTTTTGTAATTGTTTCCAAAATGCACCACAAAATCCCCCCTTCCAAAAAAATCCCCTAAGACTAGCTAGTATACATATGTGAATACTGACCTTAGTACATGTCCATCTGCTTAGTTTTGTATTACTGATTAGATTAAATTTTTATATATTCCTGCCTTTTTATACACCACTCATGCCAGTAACCATACCTAATTCTCCTGCCTCCCAGTTTACGAAGTGGGTTGGGCAGAGTGAGTGACTGGTTTTCAGTCCTAAGGAAAAGCTACCACTCAAGTTTCCTGATTTTTAAGCCTATTCAAGTACATTTCAACTGCTTGGAAAGATTATTTAAATCAAGATATTTAATCTAAAACAACATTGTATTTTAAAAAGGCCTGCTTAGGTTCAAATGTCAGTCTGCAGGTTTCTCTTAAAAAAGAAAAAAAAAAGCCTTTTGATTTGTAGGCGGGGAAACTTACAATATTGTAATTACACGTAGACTTAATTGTTTGGTTAAAAATAATGGCCCGGAATTGGGCAGGTTGGGTCCTATTGTTGTTAAGGATATATTTTGCTGATTAAATTTGCGATAGCAAACTTGGAAAGGGGTTTCCTCTCCCAGCTAGATTAGACTGTTACTGAAGCCCACTACTGACGGCTGGACTTGTTCTGCTGGTTTATTACAGGCTCCTGTTTCTATATAAATAGTTGATTTGAGTCCCAGGTATGCTTTATGTTTGGAAGATGAATGATTGACGCTGAAAGCTGTTCCTTGCCTCTTTTTTTTTTTTTAACTCTGCAGGTGTTCGATAACTATGCTGTAACAGTGATGATTGGCGGGGAGCCGTACACCTTAGGCCTGTTTGATACCGCAGGTAACTTGCTTTTTAAGTCTGTCCATCCTTTGAGGAAGATGCTTCGTAGTCGCTATAGCACAACTTGGCTGACTGTTGATAAAGCTTCAATGTTTTTTTTTTTAATTTTAATCTTCATTTATTGGGGGGAGAATACAAACAGTCACTTTAATTTTTGACTCAGTGCTTGTGCCTTCAGTACTTTGACAACCATCTTCTGTTCCTCAATGCTCTCTTGATTCGGTCACCATCACATTTAGCATGCAGAGGACCTCCATAGGTTTCTTTGTTTTGGAAAGTCTCATAAGAGCTTTTAGACGATCAGCGTGGGCACCACGAAGTCTTCCTGGGCATACACCCCATGCAAACTTTGGTGCCTTGCCAACTTCCTTAGTATAAAGCTACACAATCCTATTACCAGGTGTCCTGGACAGGCTGGTGTTGTTAGAGGCTGTATTGTACGACAGCCTATGCCGGTATGTCAGGCGTTGGGACCATTTTCAGCGCCTTAAGCGGAAGCTTGCGCCGGAAGACGATAAAACTTCAATGTATACGTGTGCCGAAAACCAGAGCAATATTACATCTGCCCAAAGCAATGTCACGTAAAGAATGTTGGTTTGTTTTGTGTTCCCTTTCCACCCCCTTTTCCTTCTGTGGGGCAGTTTGTTTATTAATTTGTAAGCTGCTTTGGGGGCCTCTCTAGCAGAGGGAAGGAATAAAACGTTTATAGGTGGATACCCTGTTCCTCCCAAAATAAGACCCCAAACTGGGAAATAAGCATGATTTTTCAGGATGCTCGTAATATAATCTCTACCCCAAAAATAAGACCCAAAAATTAAGATCGTCAAGCAGACGAATGCATTTAGTGCCGTATTTTCTAACTAGAAAATAAGCCCCAAGGCGTCTTTTGGAGTAAAAATTAATATAAGACCCAGTCTTATTTTCAGGGAAACACGGTAGTTCTTGCTTTTCTCCCGTATCCCTTTTAAAGTCCTTTCCAGCCTTCGCATTCTGTGAATGCATTGAGAGAATCTACCAGAACTTCTTGGTTTGGGAAATGACACGCACGGGATGACTACAGCTGTCGTTTCCTGCTTTGCATATCTCAAGAGAGAAAGGAAATTTTTAGGTACAGGAAGGCCCTCAGAAAGCAGAACCACGAGTGATCTGCAGTATTACATTTATTTTGCCAAGCGCTGCCTCGATCTTTTCACAGAAAGCGGAGCAGGGCAGTATCTGTGTGTCTTGGCCTTGGAGTTAGGCCTTGATTTTTAGCCTCACGAGTTAGCTCTGGTGTTGCCATTCTTCCTGTTAGAAGCAACAATCCGGAAGCGCAACTATTTTATTCTGGGAATTACATCCCAACTAATTTGCTTGGAGCTCTGAGTCACAACTGGGAAAGGGAGGGGGTGCTTTCTCTTTGGAATACGCACAGCTTAAAAGTTGGAGTCATCCCAAGAAAAAGGAAGGCACCATGTTTTTTGGACTATAAGACGCACTGGAGTATAAGACGCACCATGATTTTGAAGAGGTAAATTAAAAAAAAAAGTTTTTGTACTCTGCAGGCCTCCCCAAACCCTCTGCACGCTATGTTTTTTGCACACACACACCCCAAAAAGGAGGGGGGGCATGCAGAGCTTTGGGAGGCTTGTAGAGTGCTCCTGGGGGCTGGGGAGGGGTGAAAACGGCCCGTTTTTTGCTCCTTTTTGCCCTCCCCAGCCCTCAAGAGCACTTTGCAGGCATCCCAAGCCCTCTGCACGTCCATTTTTGCAAAGGAGGGGAGGGTTCGGGAGGCCAAAAATGCTGTATTCAGTGTATAAGATGCACCCAGATTTTCACCCTCTTTTGAGGGAAAAAGGTGCGTCTTATACTCCGAAAAATACAATAATTTTGCTCAAATCTCTTCCGTAATATTCCTTTCTTATACCGATATATCAGAGCTAAAATTCTGAAGCCTTTGACTGATGTACTGGCGGTCTTCGACTTACAGCAGTTCGCTGTAATTATGATGTCACTGAAAAAAGCAGCTTAGGACCATTTTTCACACTTACGACCGTTGCCGCATCTCCATGTTCACTTGATTTACACATGGACGCTTGGCAACTGACTCATATTTACGACTGTCGCAGTGTCCCTTTTATTGACCACCTGTCGAGTAAAATTGACGAAGCCAGATTCACTTAACAACCATGTGGCTAACAACAACAACGCTTCATAAATAGAACCGGGAAGGTCATAAAATGGGGCAAAACTGACTTTAAACACATTTCTCACTTAGCAACATAAATGTTGGGCTCAGTAGTCATAAGTCAAGGACTACCTGGAGCTATTTTATGGAGGGATTGAGAACAAAAACAGATGTTAGAAATAAATGGTACTAAATAAATGGTACTAAATACTTTAAGACAGAGATGTAAACAATACGATGATTCTTACAAGTATGACTGTTAAGCCTACTCTGTTTAATATTACTATCATATTCTTACTGGAAGAAATGTTAAGAGGGAGAAATGAATAGGTTTATTGTGCTTATTACTATTGTAAGATTAGAGAATTAATATCAATGTAATGAAAACTGTAAATTCTGATTGCACAGAGATATTGGTACCCAGACGACACACTGTTTTAAATGGAAGATGAAATGTTCAAATAAAAATAAGGACTTACCTGTATTACACCTGTGTGAAATGTTGTTCTTGTAGCCTTTCCTCCATCCCAAGACCAGGTTACTGATGTCACGTCTCCTTCATTTTTTTTTCCCCCCAGGACAGGAAGATTATGACAGATTACGGCCCCTCAGCTACCCACAGACAGATGTGTTCCTGGTCTGCTTCTCTGTGGTGTCGCCCTCTTCGTTTGAAAATGTTAAGGAGAAGGTGAGGCGATTTGGGCTGCCTCCGTGGCAGATGCTTTTAATCCGAGGGGTCGTTGATGCTATCTGAGCCTTGGTGGTGTTCTTGCAGATGTTTCATTAACCGAACTAGGTAATATCATCAGACTGACAATAGCAACAGCCCTTAGAGATGTATACCGCTTCTTTACAGTGCTTTACAGCCCTCTGTTAAGCGGTTTACAGTCTCGGCATACTGCTCCCAACAATCTGGGTCCCCATTTTAACGACTTCGGAAGGACGGAAGGCTGAGTCAGCCTTGAGCCAGTCGGAGAGGCTAGCCTATAATCCTGCATTCCAACCACTGCGCCGTCACATCTGAATAGAATAGGGAGTAAAAGAGAATAGGGAATAAAAAGAAGAGAATAGAGAAGAGAATAAGGAATAGAATAGAATAAAGAGTAGAATAGAATAGCAATAATACGAGAATAAATATTGGAATGAACAATAGAATAGAAAGTAGAATAGAATAGTAATAAGAATAGAAGAGAATAAATATTGGAATGAAGAATAGACCAGAATAGAAAGTAGAATAGAATAGCAATAAGAAGAGAAGAGAATAAATATTGGAATACAGAATAGAATAGAAAATAGAATAGAAATAATAGAGTAAAGAAGAATAAATATTGGAATGAACAATAGAATAGAAAATAGAAGAGAATAGTAATAAGAAGAGAAAAGAATAAATATTGGAATGAAGAATAGAATAGAAAGTAGAATAGAAATAATAGAGCAAAGAAGAATAAATATTGGAATGAACAGTAGAATAGAAAATAGAATAGAAAGTAGAATAGAATAGCAATAAGAAGAGAAGAGAATAAATATTGGAATGAAGAATAGAAAGTAGAATAGCAATAAGAGAAGAGAATAAATATTGGAATATAGAATAGAATAGAAAGAATAGCAATAAGAATAGAAGAGAAGAATAAATATTGGAATGAAGAATAGAATAGAATAGAAAGTAGAATAGAATAGCAATAAGAAGAGAATAAATATTGGAATGAAGAATAGAATAGAGAACAGAAAAGAATAACAGGAAAATAATAGAATACAGAATAGAATAGCAATAGCCCTTAGACTTATATACCGTTTCACAATGCTTTACAGCCCACTCTAAGCGGTTTACAGAGTCAGCATTATTGCCCCCAGCAGTCTGGGTCCTCATTTTACCGACCTCAGAATGGACGGAAAAGCTGAATCAACCTTGAGCCGGTCAGGATCTAACCTCGTGGCTGTGGGCAGTCGGATGCAGCCATCCTGCATCCTAACCTCCGCTCCACCAGGGGGCGCTCATGATATTAGACCAGTTGGATGATGAAACACCTGCCAGAAAAAGAACCACAGATAGAGAACAATAAGGACCCCACAGTTCAGTTCTGAGGCTTCAAATATTCTCTTCTGCCCTCTCCAGTGGGTCCCCGAAATCACTCACCATTGTCCGAAGACTCCGTTTCTGCTCGTCGGGACCCAGATTGACCTCCGAGACGACCCCTCGACGATCGAGAAGCTCGCCAAGAATAAGCAGAAGCCCATCACTCCCGAGGCTGCGGAGAAACTGGCGCGGGACTTAAAAGCCGTCAAATACGTGGAATGCTCTGCGCTCACACAAGTAAGCCCCACCCACCCCTGTTTAAATCAATGTCCGCGGCTGTTGTTAGCGGAAGGGGAAGTGTGGGGGGGGGGATCTTCAGAGAGCAACGGGGTAAGATCCGGCAGGTAAGTTCCTCTTGAGAAGGTCTCCCCTTGTGCAGCCAGTCCCCTGTAGATGCCTTCAGAAATTCTCAAGGTAGGGAACGGGAAAAAACCCCATCGCTTGGGACAGTTTTGCACAAGGTGTTAAAAAAACAGGGAGATGAGCAAACGAAAGACAGCGTCATCAAAGCATCAGCAACTCCCAGCCATCCGTATTTCTAATTTCCCATTGATTTTGAAAACCCTTCATTGCAAGCGGAGCCGGTCTCTCAATATCCTTTGTATGATAAATCGGATAATTGCAGGAGGAGGAGGAGAAGGAAGAGATGGTCAAAACGAGCAGGTTAAGCTGGTTGGGCGGCCCAGAATCTCTTGTCGCCCTGAAAAGTGGTTTTTTTCTTTTTTTTAAACGGGTGGCATGTAGAATTTATGGCCTGATCCTTGCGCCCTCCTCGCGCAGGCCCCCAGAGAGAGAGGAAAGGATCAGGTGTGGGCAGGAGGCAGGGAGGCAGGCGATGGCAAACTCTCAAATTCATTTGTGGCAAGTGGATTTGATTTGTTTGGAAAAATTAGAAAGTGTGTGTCTCTTTTACAAACGCAGCATCACAATTGGCAAGATGTTGGCAGGAATTGAGCACCTTCCGGGAATTATGGAAGAGCCAAAGCGCGGTATTAATACGCAGTTTTGAATGACGGCCCTTTGGAGTTCTCCCCCAGCGTCAAAAGGGTGGGGCAGGGAATACAATTACCTCGGCTTACGACCTCAATTGAGCTCAAAACTTCTGCCGCTGGGTGAATTTTGCCCCATTTAACACACTTTCGTGCCACCTTTCTCAAGCGAATCCCTGCAGTTATTAAGTTAGTCACACGGTCGTTAAGCGAACCCAGCTTCCCCATTGACTGTGCTTGTCAGAAGGGGATGGCACGACCCCAGGATGCTGCCACCGTCATAAACATGAGTTGCCAAGCATCTGGATTTTGATCACATGGCCATGGGGGTGCCGTAGCAGTCATAAGTTTTTTTCAGTGCCGTCGTGAACTGTCGCAAGTCGAGGACTACCTGTAACTGAACCCCGTTAAAACGCCAGGGAGGGAAAGCTTTGGAAGCATTTCCCCCCCCCCAAGGGGGATGGAGATCAGGAATGTTTCTCCCCTGCTTAAACATTATTTTTTTGAGAGCCAGATTGGTATTTTGGAATGCGAAGCGTAAAATAGACCACGGAAATCGAGATGCCCACAGAGAATCTTGACTCTTGCCCCTGGCTTGGAAGGAAAGCCTTAGCAAATGTGGTTAACTTGAGAAGAAAGTTGTTACTGTTTGAATGGACATATAAGAGGAAATGAAAAAAGGAGAACACATAACCAAACAGAAGTCAAAAGAAAACCCAAGCGTGTTTGAGGCAAGAAGAAATTTCAGCCTAGTTTTAAAATAAACTTCCCTCTAGTCTTCCTTCATTCCAAGTTTTATGGCTGCCTCAGTCAGAGATAAATTCTAACGCCACTCAAATAACCCTGCTTGTTTTCTTAAAGATAGGATCACTAAAAAAAAAATGCCATTAATTACATACTATTCTTAATCTGTTGAATGCTTCTGCATAAAAAAGGCAGATTAAACAAATGGGTAGGAAGAGGGAGATGTTTAGAACTACTTATGTGTAACACGAATGATTTTTATCTCCTATATGAAAAAAAGTGCTCCATAGGAAAACCACTTCTAGTTTGTAGCACTCAATTTATTCTGAAACTATATAAACACTTTCTGAAACTGTGCAAAGATTTGTACTAACTAAATGTAGCACAGTGTCAGTTATAAACAATTTAGAACCAATTGCAGCGCTTCTAATAGGGGAATAATATATGTAAAGGTAAAGGTTCCCCTCGCACATATGTGCTAGTCGTTCCTGACACTAGGGGGCGGTGCTCAACTCCGTTTCAAAGCCGAAGAGCCAGCGCTGTCCGAAGACGTCTCCGTGACCATGTGACCGGCATGATTCAACGCCGAAGGCGCATGGAACACTGTTCCCTTCCCACCAAAGGTGGTTCCTATTTTACTACTTGCATTTCTTACGTGCTTTCGAACTGCTAGTTTGGCAGAAGCTGGGACAAGTCACGGGAGCTCCCTCCGTTATGCGGCACTAGGGATTCGAACCGTCGAACTGCTGACCTT